CATTTAAGCGTACTAATGCAAAACCTATACTTGGACCAAGAGGCAGTTGTGAGAACAGAGCAGGGTAACACTGCATGGTTCAAAACTGGGAAGGGTGTATGCCAGGGATGTGTCCTGTCTCCATACGTTTTCAACCTGTATGCAGAGCAGATTATCCAAGAGGCTGGGCTCTATGAGGAGAAACATGGCATTAGGATTGGTGGAAGATCTGTCAACCATCTGCATTATGCAGTTGACACAACCCTGCTTGCTGAAACTGAGGAGGATCTCATGCACTTACTGCAGAGGGTCAAGGACTGCAGCCTTTGGTATGGACTGAGGCACAATGTCAAGAAGACAAAGATTCTCACCACTGGACCAATCGGTAGCATCAGGATGGATGGTGAAGAGATTGAGATTGTTCACAGCTTCAGTTTGCTCGGCTCCACGGTCAACACTCCTGGCACCAGCAGCCAGGAAATCAAAAAACTTATTGCGATGGGAAAGTCTGCTGTTAGGGACCTCTCTAAAGTACTCAAGAGCAACGGTGTCTCTCTGGAGACTAAGGTGCGCCTGATACAGGCCATGGTCTTTGCAATCACTTGTTATGCATCAGAGAGTTGGACAATGACTAGGGAGGATAGAAGGAGAATGGACGCCTTAGAGCTGTGGTGCTGGAGAAGAGTATCGAATGTTCCCTGGACTGCCAAGAAAACAAACAGATTCATCCTGGAGAGGGTTAAACCAGGCTACTCCTTGGAGGCAAGGATTCTGGGGCTCCGTCTGACATACTTTAGACATGTTATAAGGAGAGACAGGTCCTTGGAGAGGGACATCATCCTTGGTAGGGTAGAGGGACAGCGCAGAAGAGAAGACCCTCTATGAGGTGAATTGATTCAGTGACTGGGGTAATCTGGATGGGTGTGTCAGAGGCAATGCGATTGGCACAGGATCGAGCAGGGTTTAGGGCTGTTGTACATAGGGTCACTATGAGTCGCAAACGACACGATGGCACATAACAACAACAAACCACAACAAACAACAACCTCTGGGATTGCAATGCAGCATCTTGCCACTAGGCCACCAGAGCTCCCTTAAAATTAAAAACTTTTGACTTGACTTTATATACTTTAAATTCTCTTTTTGAACTGAAGCATAACTGATTTTCCTAGGGAAATATCATTGGTTTTGATCAATGAAAATAAAAAACTCTACAGATTCTTTTTGTAGTTCCTTCACTTATGAGAAAAATGTGGACAAATTCCTGCCTTTTTTCCAACTGAAATTTCCTTTCTTGTCTTACTCAGTGTAATAGTCCCAATGACTCTTCCAGGCAAGAAAGAAAATACTTGGCTGTATTTTCTATACACAGTTTATGCTTTCTGGTGCAAGTGATTTCATTGACATTTAGCTTAGTTAGCTGTATTAATATTTCAGTATAGTTTTTAAATGTGAGATCTTTGGACTTTTCTTTATGTATATAATAAATGTAGAATTTTACTTCAGCACAAAAACTTAACAGCAATTGAGACTGCCATTTGGAAAGAAACACTCTAAATTTGACTTAATTCTCCCTAACTGGTGGATTCGGACCACATTCAAGCATAAAAATTATCAGTGGTTTTGTAAGTAAAGCAGTATAAAATAAAAATTTTATTAAAAAGAAGAGAAGGGGTGATGTTATGCGTAGATAAATAGTAATTATATAAAATGTCATGTATATGAATGTATTTGACAAAATGTACATGAATGGTTGTAAGCAAAACAATGAAAATTTTAGAAATGAAAAAAGAAATTATCATTAACCAAGATTAATTAAGGTAAATTTTATTACAATTAAGTAAGCATAGGTTTGCTCCATGCTGCACACATTTGTCAAATGGCTGCAATTTCTGTCTTTAAATAACATGATGTAAAGACTCCCTCATTCCTAGAACTGTTCCTGCTATTTACTTTCGTAGACCAGTCACTTATGATATGAGAATCATCTCAAACTCTTGTATACTTTATATGTGATAAGAAAAGGTAAAAGTATCTTGTAAACAGTCTACTCTATTGAACACTGTTCTCTGTGAAGGACTAAAAACTGATTTTGTTATTAACTAAACTCTGGGAAATAGATACAAAAAAGGCCAGTAGTTCTGACCCTGTTCTTTGAACCTCTCTGTTAGTTAGGATCTAGATCTCTATCTAGTGCTCCTGTAACAGAAATACTGCAAAGACAGTGTCTAATCAAACCCTTATGATACGTTGCCTTTCCCCCAGAAGGAAGCTTCTTGTCTCTCTTCAGTATCTGCAGGTCTAGCTTTCTGTGGAGATCTGCTTTCATTGTGTCACCAGTTTTCATGTGGGTCTAAGGACCCAAGTCAGGTCTTGCTTTCTCTGCTAAACTAAGTTCTCTTCCCCTTTCATCAGTCAGGGCTAACTACATTGCATCACATCTTTTGCATTTGTTTTATTGATCACATCTTGAGGGATGGCTGTATTATCACATGACTTCCAAACTGCTGAGAATCATGGAATAGCCAAGATGATATGTATTTTCAGGGCAAACAGTTAAGTCTATGACCAGGAGTTTGGCCAGAAGACGGAAATTACAAAATAATTTGAGGGAGAGGGGTAAAATAAATAGTAACTAAGAATTGAAGTAACAGATTAACTATTAAAAGACAAAGTAAATGCTATTGAAGTCAGGAATAGCAGATAACGGGTATTTTTCCTAGCTTACTCTCTTTTGGGGCTGACATCCACACCTTGTGGCTCTTTGGGTGGAGAAAATACTAAGGACTGTGCCCATAGATCTTCCTGGAAATAGACCCTCTGGGGTACTGGAAGATTCTGTCAGTAGTGGAATATTGCACTTTTGGGAATTCACTGCAAGTCTGACAGGTGGTTCCAGAGCATTTGTCAGAGTTGCCTGTCTTCTGACACAGTGCTCTGAAATTGCCCAAGGAGGATCAAGATGGACTGGAGGAAGCCTCCTTAGATGTTGATACTCATCTGTGATGCATCTGAGAGGGAATGCAAGCAAGAAGCCCTTCACAGCGCAGCTCCCTGTAGAGCTGCTGGGCACCAGGGAAGCAGCCCAAGGGGAGGGGCCTGAATGAAGGCATTCCACCAGAGACTGCCGAGGTAACAGTGTGACGTGTTGTTTTAGTTGAACTGTGTGAAGAAAGTCTTCAGATAAGATAGATAGGAGGATCAGTTACTGTCGAGTTGACTCTGGTGACCCCATGTGTGCCAGAGCGGAACTGTACTTTCAGAGAGGCTGTGAGGGATGGGTCTGCACAGATAAATCCCAGACCTTTCTTCTCAAGTGACTCTGGCAGTCAAAGGTTTGAGACTCCAGGTAGAAAATAGGAATATTTTGTTTGCTTTTTTAGATAATTAAGAACTTGAAGCATTTTTTGCAAAGGATCAAGGAATGCAGGCTGTGGTATGGATTGCATCTCAATGTCAGGAAAACAAAGATTCTTACCACTGGACCGATAGGCAGCATCATCATGGATGGATATTGAAACTGTCAACAGCTTCATCTTGTTTGGATCCACATTTCACGCCCTCGGTACGAGCAGACAGGATGTAACGAGACTTGTTGCACTGTGAAAATCTGCAGTTAGGAACCTCTCCATATTATTGAGGAGTAATGATGTCAGTTTAAGGACTAAGGTGCATCTGAATTCAGGCCATGATCTTTCCAATTACTTGCTATGCATCTGAGAGCTAGACAATAAACAAGGATGACAGAAAAAGAATTGACACTTTTGAGCCGTGGTATTGGAGAAAAGAACTGAACATCCCATGGACAGCTTGGAGAGGGTGCAGTTGTAGTGCTCTTTGGAGGCAAGAATGATGAGGCTTCACCTCACATACTAGGAGGGCCTATTCCTTGGAGGACCTTCAACCAGCTGGATTAAGCAGGTGACTGCTTCAGTGGACTCATTTGTGTCAGGAAGTGTGAGGATTGCACAGGATAGAACAGGATTCAGATTTTTTGTTCATAGGGTCACCATGAGTTGTACTAGACTCAACAGCATCTAACAACAACAATATTATATCAAGACTCAATATGTACTAATTTTGTTAAGTCACATTGGAGTGCAGATTGGTTCCCTTTAACATGCTATTATATTAAAAGGGAGTTCTGTTGACTTAGTGGTAAGAAGCTATACTCCAGTCCAAAAGACATGCAGTAGAAAGACGAGCGATCTCCTCCTGTGCAATTTACTATCTCTGAAAACCTGCTGGAGAGTCAGCTATAGGCATTTCACTCAATAGCAAATCATCACTACCACCACAACATCTCTTTTCTGCTTTGAATTGATAGACCCTACTCATGTAATATTTAATAATAAGTTGTATTGGTCGTGTGGAAAATATTTACTGAGTTTTACAAGTCTTGAGGCAGATACTTGATTTTAAGACCAAAAGATCACACTTACAAATATTACCACAATCTCATCAGAAAAGTCTTTTAGATGTTAGAAGGCTCTAATAATTTTTCAAATTCTCATTTTTGCTTGTGAGCTCGAATTTTGCTTTGGCAGGAAATTGTCATTTTTCTTGATGTGAACGTAGCTACCCAATATGAATTATTACGTGTTTAGTAATTCTTTTAATCTATAAAACTGGTGTCCCTTGAAATGAAAAGCACAGCTTGCTTAGCTCACAGTTTAAATGGCTGCAGAGCACTTTGCCTGAACACGACCACCCCACTTATGAATGCAGCACAAGTGCTCTATGCCTTCTTCCCGTGTGTCTAATAGAATAGTAAAGAGATACAGAAAGACTTGAGGATTGAGATTTATCACTTTTACTGTCATCAAGAACATTCTTCAGTGAAATGTTTGTGGGGGTTTTTTTGGTTTTTTTAAGATAAAAATATGTGATCATGATTCCTAGTATACTTTTGTTATAGGATAACAAAACTCTTGGGATGAATTTTCTCTCATCCCAACATGCCAGCAGTCTTATTCACTGTTGCTTTTGTTTCTGTGCTTTGATGGACTCCTCTTTCCTAGGAGAAGAGATCAACTTTGGGAAACTTATCACAAGACCTTCAGAAGGAACAACTCTGAGGGTGGAAGACCTTGTAAAACAGTATTTTCAAACTGCAGAGAAGGTAATTTCTTAATTACAGCTCATATTTTAACAATGGCCATCTTATGACAAATTTAATTTAAGAAACTGGAGGGATGGGGGAAGGAGGTAATTGTGCAACAGTGAATGAATATGGGAAAAAGGTAAACTGGGAGAAAGGAAGGAGAGGGGATAAAATGTGCAACAATGAATGATGAAAATCTAACTTTTCTATAAACTTTCATTAAAATCACAATAAAAATAAAAATTTTTATGTACAAAAAATGTGTCACAAAAGGAGAAAATCAGACATGTTGGCACAGGGCTGTGAGCATCTCTCCGAAAGGGCCAGGGGGAATGAGAATAGCACAGCCCCTCATAGCCTCAGAGCAGAAAGCAGGTTAAGAGCCTGTAGCCCAGCCCCATGGTGCCTCTAGAGCCATACCAGCAGCAAGAGGTTCATGTATTCATTGCTGACTCAGAAACTGACAGTTGTGATAACGACAGTGGGGTTTATTAGGGAAGGAAGTGGGAGAGTGGGGAAGGCAAAGGATATCACCCAAACAAGTCCAGGTTTTAGTCCAAATTCCAAGGCACAATTCCTTAATTTAGTCCAGGCTCTGGTTTTAGTTCAGCTGTAAAATCCAAATCATCCAACAAGGTTTGCCTCCAAGCAAACATGAATCCAGCAAGTTTTAAATTAGCTTCAAGCATCCAGCAAGAACAGCAAACACCTTTAACTATGGCCTTATCTCAGGGCTTCTCTGCTTAAACCTTAAGTTTGCCACCCCTGTGTGTAAATGTGCTCTTTCTCTTATCCTAGTCCCACACCTATTGGTTATTTGCAAGACCATGTGCCTGCAGATAAGGTGCTGGAGACCAGAGGGGCTAACTGTAATGGTTAAAAACACCAACTTTTAGGCAAACAAAATAATATGTTTAACTGATAATTTAAGTAAAACTAATTCTTAAACTGTTTCTATGAAGTCAATAGGGTAACAAATTACATTCATTTATAGTATTTACCCATTAAGAACAATTAGTGTTTGATTAAGGTTTATTATTTCTTTTCATCAACTTTAGAGAGCTCTGGTAGCGTAGCCTGTAGGGGTTGTGCAGCTAACGCAACGACTGCCCCTCTCTGCCATTTTGAATCCACTTCAGGATGAGAAGGATGAGCAGTCTCCTCCTGTATGATTTACAGCCTCTAAAAACCCACAGGAGAATCAGCTAAGGTCGGCTCCACCTTGACAGCAGTCAGTTGCTGAGTTGTATAAACATGGTTGTTATTGCAGCTCTTCTGTTGATGTTATCTTTTCACTTCCTTTTTAGTTTCTGCTGTAAAAATCTAAATCCAGGATTTAATTTTCTCACGTCTGAGTTTAATGTCTGGATTACTTGATTAATGCAGCCACGTGGTGGTGAAACTACTCACACTTACTATCTTGAATTTGTACTACTCTTAAGTCCTCCCCAAATTTAGTAACTTAAAAGTGAATATTTTATAATGTATATATGTACATCAGAGATCTGATGCAGGTCCTCTGGACTAAAGTCATGGTGTCAGCAGGGCCATACTCCTTCCTGGTGGTTCTAGTAAAAGATCTCTTGTCTTTGGAAGCATGTAGATGCCACCCACATTGCATAGCTCCTGGCCGCCTTCATCCATCCTCACAGCCAACAAAATTGCATCTCTCTTTGCCTGCATTTCGTGGTTACAGCTCCCCCGGTCTCCCTGTTTTGACTCTCTCTCTACTCTGCTAGTCCCAGCTCTCCATGATTAGATTGCCAATCACGATTAAGCTGATCCTGACTGATAGGGACCCTTTGTTGGGTTTCAGAGACTATCCCTCCTTCTCTCTTGGAGTGGCTGGTAGTTTCCAGCTGCTGGACTTTTGGGTAGTGACCCTCTGTGGTATGTACTGCATCACTAGGGCTGCTTGTTTAGTTCATTAGTGGCTTTAGTTCCTTCTGCAGCTTTAATTCTCCTTGGCCATGTAACATACTCATGTTGATGTTTTGTTATGCATCATTGAGTTGAAACTGACTCATAGCTGACCCTTCAACAGATTTTCAGAGGCAATAAACTGCATGGGAGGAGATTGCCCATCTTTCTCCCACAGATCAGCTGATGGATTTGAACTGCCTGACTTTGGGTCAGCAGTGCAGCTCCTTACCATTGGTGTGGACATCTTTAGGGTTGTGTATTCCTTGGGACCATAAAGAAATATCAGTGAAGGTTTTTTTAGTAGTCTGAATGAACACACCAACAAGATCAACTTTAAGGGACCAAGTAGTAACTAAACTTAATTTCTGTTAGTTGCCATTTCTTGTGACTGTCCCAGCCATTTGAGACTCTGCATTTTCACCTGCCATCCTTTTTCCTATTTTACTTTTTCCTTTTCCTGGCCCTCAATATCAGTAGATTCAATTATTCTTCATTTATTTTTTTTGCCCCAGTGCTAGGTAAATTTTTTGCCTTTTCCCCTTCCTTAATATGATTTTCCTCGTTCATGTGTAACTATTTTTAAGGAATAGATACAATTTTCTACAACTAATGATTTTTGTCTCTCTCTTATAGAATGTGCAACTCTCACTTCTAACAGAAAGGGGAATGGGTGAAGCAGTACAAGAATTTGTGGATAAGGAGGAGAAAGATGCTATAGAGGAATTAGTGAAATACCAGTTGGAAAAAACACAGCGATTTCTAAAAGAACGTCATATTGATGCCTTGGAAGACAAAATCGATGAAGAGGTAGGTAATTGATTTCAGGGTGGCTTGGTCTATTTCAGAAGAACCCTTATAGTGCAGTGTCTAACTGAAAGTTTGGTAGTTCAAGTACACCAGCTGCGCTGAAGGAGAAAAAGGAGTAGCCTCTTCCTGCAAAGATTTATAACCTTGGAAACTCAGTGAAAAGTTGCTGAGTTGGACTTAATGACAGTGAAGTTTTAGGGTTAAGATCTGTATCTACAGTCTCTCTCCTTAAGTGTACTACTTATTTTCTTTCTGATAAATTAGATCTGTTTAGTTTCTTAATCTAGAAAACTTGCATAATGAGAATGCATTTAGAAAGTATCTGCAGACATCTGTTACTTTTATTCCACAGAGGAATTTTCTCTTGAAAATCCCTCAAGTGGTTTATAATGAATCTTTTAGGATAATAATTTCTACTCATTTCAGTTTTTAAAGTAGTATTTTTTGATATTTTAATTTAATCTAGAAAATACAGCTTTCTCTAAACATGAAAAGAATAGTAAGAACGAGAAGACAAGCCCTAGCTTTTAGGACATAAAAAATGTAAATGTTTTCATGCCAAATTATTTTAAAAAACCCAAAATTAAAGCCTTTTTTTTTTTTTTTTTAAATTTTTTATTATTTTGTGTGTGTGTACCGTCAAATCAGATCTGACTGGTACAGGAGGATATTGCGCCTCCTTCTCCGGCAGAGCATCTGGTGGATTCGAACCGTGTTCCTCTGGGATTGCAGTGCAGCTTCTTGCCACTAGGCCACCAGAGCTCCCCTATTAAAGCCTTTTGACCTGAGGAAAATATTTTCAACAACTAGAAGACAGGCCCTAGTTTTTATGACATAAAAAATGTAAATGTTTTCATGTCAAACTATAAAAAAAACCCAAAATTAAAGCCTGTTGACCTGAAGAAAATATTTCCAACAAATGAAAGGAATAATATTTTTAATACAGTGTTAAATGATGTACTACTTTTGAGAAATTGTTAACATTTCAGTAGATACTGAGGAAAGAGCAAGAATAGACAGTTCTCAACAGAATAATAAGTGAATAATAACACTCGTGACACAGTCTGTCAGCTTTTGTGTTGCCAACCTAAAGTCATGTTCAACTCTACCAGCATCCATGGAGAGGAGAACGATGGGTATTTCCTGCCTGTGCAGTTTATTGTCTCAGACCCACTGGAGAGTCAGGTAGGAGTCAATTCCAGCCTCAATGACAATGAGTTCAGTTGAGTTGAATGAAAGAAACAAACTTTTTTTTTTGGTCAAATTGGAAATAGGAAATATATAGAAATATTTCACGCACTGCTGGTAAGACCATTTTTTAAATTATTGTAAAGTGGACTCTTAACTCAGTCTTCAGAAGTAGATAAAGATTTATGTATAAGGTAACTCATCTTGAGGTTATCCATAGTCGGAGAAAGTGTTATGGTGAAATAAATGTTGTCACATGTGCAATACTGAAGACTAACAACCTGGAAAAAATTGCACTTAATAGTTCTAATAAAATGTTTACTAATTCTAGTAGTGAAAATTTCTTTTTCAACCAGATGAGTAATCAGAAATTTTTTTGTTGTGTTTCTAAATCTAAATAAACTATAGACTTTATCCATAAAAAAAAATGTTATGGGGAAAGAATTCCAAAGATACAGAGCATAAACAGGGATCCCAATTATGTTGATTATGTGTGAATGTATGTGCGTATATGAGAAACGAAGAAAATATTCCAAACATATTACCAATGATTATGCTAATTTTTATGTTTTTCATATTTCTTCTGTTCTGCCCACGAAATGCCCCTCAAAGGATATCCAATCACACATCTGAAAATTCAAGAACATTTATTAAATTCCACATGTGGAGACTTTCTCCCTCAGTAGGAAGGAAGCGAGGGAAAAAGCCCCCAGGCCCCCTCCACAATTGCTTTTATGGCTTTCCTAGGTGCCACTGTCGGGGCGGGGAGATTGAGATCATGGTTGGTGGGTCGGGGGATCAGTCCTATGGGTCGGCTTTTGACGGGCTGGCTACTTGCCCGCCTTTACTCTTTTTGTGTCACTAGACACTAGTTAATTCTTTACTTTGCAAGGACAGTGTTTGTCTTTTTTTTTTTCTTTTTTTTTTAAATTTAGGTTGTTTATTTTTCATTTCAGTGAACATCTACAGAGATTTTGGGATTCCATTCAT